TTGATTACCGTACGCAACAGTTTCCAATAATTATAGTATTGTTTTGAACTATAAACTGCAAAAAGTTTTGAGTCAGTTGATAGCTGTTAACGAAAACAGTTTAGCAATGTTATTTTATGATTAATATTTTTTTTTGTATTTTTAATTATACCAAAAAGAAAAACAAACTTTTTAGCTTTACATTTTTGCGTATAATTCACTACATATGTTTGAAATTTTAATACCTTTTGCAACTGTTATTGATACGCTTATAATTTTTTTTTTTTTTAGTATAACGGTAGAGTAAAGAATCTTTTTTTTTGGTCTTACAGTACCTTAAAAATATATCTGCTAATAAATAGAGTTTTTTTTTGTCAAAAAAAAAACTTTCTATATATGTTTTTATGTTTATATTTTTGTTGTTTTTCTCATGTATTGAAACTTTCAAGTAGAAAGCATTTAGTTAGAAGTATTTATGTCTAAAATATATATCAACATAATTTTTTAAACTGTAAACTGTTCAAACAATAGAAACAGTTAACTGTGCAACAGTTACGGTAATTTATTATAAGTCGAACGGTTTGCAACGAAAACCATTCTAATGTTTCATCAAAGAGCTTTGGTATCTGTTGTTGCAACTGAAATTCTATACATTTGTTTTGCATATCTTTTAAAATTGTTATTCAAAACTGATTAATGGTTTTAAAAAGAAAAACAAATGCCATTTTGTTGAGAAATTAACTGATTTGTAAACTTCTAGTAAACTGTTGGTAGCCTTCAGGTTTGTTTCTCCAGTGTTCTCAATATGCCGGAACAAATATACAACGAAGACGAGGTGTATGTATTTCTTTAGTTGTCATATTGAAAAAAAACTTTCAACAGTTATCTTTGTGAATTATAAAACTGCAGGAAAAAAAAAACAAAAAAAGAAAAATTGCATAAAAAATTTATGTATAAACTGTTAAACATTGGTATTCTTAATATCAATAATATTTTTTTTTTCTTTTTATTTATTTCTAAACAAATTCTCATTCTTGCAAATCTTTTCTTGCATAAACTTTTGCCTATAATGCTGCAGATGCTTACCATTATAACAGTATAACCGACAATCTTTATACTAATTAAAAAGCGAAAAAAAAAAAAACAATTGAAAATCAAAATATTAGTTTCAAAAATAAAACTTACTTTACAAAACTGTTTTGATAGAAAAAATTTAAAGAAAAAAAATAAAAATAATATTAATTTTTATATATGCTTCAAAATCACTGTATAATCTGTATTTTTAAGTGGATTAAAAACTTTTAAGATAACTTTAAACAGACGACTTTTTAATAATAAGCTCTTTGCAGTTCTGAAGAAGAGGAAGACGAAGCCGAGGAAGAAGAAGCTGCTGAAGAAGCTGAAGCTGCTGAGCCTGAGCCTGAAGAGGCTAAAGATGAAGAAGAAGAACAGTAAGAATAATGCTATCACTAAAATTTATCAGTAACCATATCAGTGTATCAGTACGGTCACAAAACCGCTTATCTGTTTCTCTTTTTTTTTTTTTTGTTTTTTGCAAATTGCTGTTTATTGTCAGTAAAAAACAAAATTTTTTGGTGATTTTTTTAACTAATTATTGTGATAAATTTTAGGCAGCCGGCAGAAGAAGAAACTAAGTATGCAGTTCACTTAAACTTAAGTTTAAATTTAGAGCAAATGTTTATATCGCATTCAAAAAAAAAGCACTTCTCAGTGGCACAAACAAAAAAAAAAAAACAACAAGTTTAAAACTGTGTTTCAAAAATATTGAGAAACATCGAAATTTTTTCAAAAATTTTTGTATATTAGGGCTCGTAAACGACCAGAAACTCCGGAGCAACAACCGGCAGAACAAACAGAAGCTGAAAAGGCCATGATGGTAAGAGTTAACTGGATAGCTTTTATTTTAAAAGTCTCTATCACCGTTTAATCATTGACAACTAATCCATCGACCCTGACATATGTCTGAATGATCCAGCAATGTATGTAAAAAAATGCATTAAAACATCAACTTCAGTTTTGTTACATTTATTCACTGATATTCTGTTCTTGTCATCTATTTCGAAAAAAAATAAAATAAAATAAAATAAAATTAAAGTGAAAAGATCATTATTTGGTAGGCAGCTAAAAAGAGACATGAAGAAGAAGAACTGGCAAAAATACAAGATTATGAAGAACGACGACGTGTTGAACGTCAACGTATTGACGATGAATTACGTGAGCTGAAGGAAAAACAGGAACGAAGAAGGATTGAAAGAGAGGAGGAAGAGCGAGAATTTGCAGAACGGCGACGCAAGGAAGAAGAAGCTCGAAAGGCTGAAGAAGTAGGACCGAACGTCTGATCTGAATTCAAAACCACGTCTCTACATTTAATTTTGTTAATTTTGTTTGCGAATTGGGTCCTCTTCTTATAGCCATCTCAATTCCACCAGAAGTAGAGCAAGTAAGGTTGAAAAAGAGGGGGAAATTTCAAACGTTGAATTTGCCTTATAGACCAGAATTAAAACTCAAATCTTAAGCTTTAAAAACACAACTTAAGGAGGAAGGACGACGTCGCATAGAGGCCGAGAAAAGGCGAAGAGAGGAAGAAAAACGTAAAAGGCAGGAAATGATGGCTGGATCGTTTCCTGGTGCTGCTCAGAATACAGATTTCGGACGAAACTTCGTCATTCCTCCAAAGGGAGAACCAAAGGAAAAAAACAGACGGATGGGAACATTCGCTGTTAGCAACAGTTTAATCATTTTGCAGTCTAAAATAAACTTTAAACTTTGAGGTGTTTCTTCTCTGTAGGTGCTGCTGAGCAAAATATTTGAAACAACGTGAAATTCTAATAAGTTTCATTTCCGTGAGTCGCGTGTTGGGTTGTATGTTTGTCTTCTGCTTTAAAAAGACACATAACGGTGGTTGAGGATTAAAAAACTTGGAAAAGGGAGAGAAGAGATTAGAATTTGTAAAATAATATTTTGTAGAAATCAGATAAATACAATTTGGAGTTTTAGGCCAAGCAAGAAGTAACGAAAGAACAACAACAAGAAGCGAAACAAGCGTTCATTGCCGCAATTAGAAAACAAATGGCAAACGTTGAAGATTTGCTGCCCAACGATCTAAAGCTTAGGATTCAAAATATTCACAAACGAATTTGCAAATTAGAGGCTGAAAAGTACGATTTGGAGAAAAGACATGAGCGACAAGAGTATGATGTAAGTTTTCTTTGCTATTTAAACAGCAGAAAGATGAGAGATTTTAAAACGTTTTTAGAATACTTTGTTAGTGTACATGTAAATAATCTTTGCCAGCAGGTACTCTTCTAGCGAATATGATAAAAGAAATTTAACAATACTTTATGCTACATTATAATTTAACTTGTTTTGTAACTACTTATATCTGTAGCTCAAAGAACTGCATGAAAGAGAACGCCAAGTTGCCAGAAACAAAGCCATGCAGAAAGGGCTGGATCCTGATGAAGCAGCTAATTCAGTACATCCGGTGACGAAAAAAAAATTTAATTCTATTATAAAATCATAATAAAAAACCAGCTTTCTTTCAACAAGTGGTTTTTTAACAAGCATACTTTAACGCACACTTATTACAGCCGAAGGTAAATGTAGCATCTAAATTTGATCGACAGATTGACAGACGATCTTATGCTGACAGGCGTGATTTATACGAAAAGGTATTCAATGCTTGAATGATTATTAATCGATTAGGTATAGTTGCCAAGAAAAATCAGCAAACTTTGTCTTCAGAAGATACTATAAGCCTTATTTCAGCCTGTTATAAAGAAACCACCTAAATTAGCGAGAGGGACAGCCAGACCACCACCAGATTGGGGTCGTCGAGAAAACGAAGAGCTAGAGCAGTTGCGAAGGAATTTGGAGCCACCGCGGTACACTGAGCAGGTGAAAGCTGAAGGCGACGCTGCAAAACCGCCAGTGAAACCAATTCCGCTTACTGTTCCGAATGTTGACGACGTTGAAGAAGAAGAACCTCAACCTCAACCTCAAGGAGCGACAGAAGCAGAACCTGAAGTAATTTTGTTATAGTTTGAGTACCTGAAAAACTAGCTGCTATCAAATTTGTTTTTTCTGTTTCCTGTTTTAATCTCTTATTTGCTGTTTTAGGCAGCACCGCCGGCCGAGGAAGAGCCAAAGAAAGAGGCTGTTAAAGCGTGAACGAGGAAGACTAAAGAAATTTTATCAAAAAATAAATAAATAAAATGAAAAACTGAGAACAATTTTCTCAATCATTCAAAAAAAATTATGACTTTTTTGAAAAAAAAAAATAATTAGTTTGTTTGCTTTAGAATTATGATTATCTATTAGGTCTTTAGAAGACTTTTTAAAACTGGCTTTAATCAGTCAACTTAAACACTGACGATTAGAAATGAACACTAAAGGAGAAGTGTTAAGGATTATGCGGCAATAAAACTTCTTTCTCAAAGATTGTTTGCTTTAAAAATTTCTTCTATAAAGATACACCTGACACAGTAGGAATGAAAGTAAATGTGTAAAATAAAAAAGTAGAAGAACTTTACTAAGCTTAGATCATAGGTTTATTTTAATAATGAGCTTCTAAGAAAAATAACTACTTAACTGTTTCGTTTTTGGTTAACTGTCAAAAAGTAAATTGATGTTTTTACAAGCTTCTAACGAACAGGTTTGAGATCGCCAGAGAAGAGGGAGAAGAGGTTTTAGTTAGCTCAGTTGTTAGAGGACCCGCTAATACGAAATAAAAGCTATATTTTTTGTGGGCTACACTTTACCAGTTATATCAGACGATCGACATGATGCTATCTGTTGTCTTTTACACAAAACCCTTGAAAATACAAGTTCTTAAGTGTGAACTGATAACAAATATGCGAACATCAAACGTTGTAACATCATTACGTCACAATACTATATGTCAACGTTTGTTGCCTACTGGGAATAAATGACTTATCCAAACCTTGGTCAATGAACTGTAGTTCGTATCAGGTTCTTGAACCGTCATAGACAGTCATCAAACGCCTGAGTTCTTTATTAAGACAAATGAATCTGACAATGAGTTATTTTTAATTCTTTCTGTGGAAGAATGCAGATTTCAGAATCCGTTTAGCTAATCTTTGAACAGCTTCTTCTTTTCGTCAGCTAAGTTCTTTGTGGGATATTTCCGGTGTTTTAATTTCGTAGAGTACACCTGATATATAAGCTCACTTTTATCAAAAAATAAAACGTTTTAATGAGGTTTTTCAAAATAATAGGTTTTTATTGCTAAAAAAAATAAAAAGTTTATGTTTTACAAAGCATTTTTCGCAGGTTGATCGTCTTTTCAAATCTTTTTTTCTCACAGAATCATATTTAATCCTAACATATAAACCATTAAACTGTGTTATTAAAGACAGGTGTTCAAAGTCTTGTAGAGATTTCATTTTTTACTCTAAATTATCCTATATTCGCGTAAAAAAGCTTTCTTCACCTGTATATTAGTCACGCTGATTTTTTGGCTAAAATCTTTTCTAAGATTTCTTGAAGTTTAACAGCTAGGTAGCGAATTGAACAACATACTCTAGTGTCAGCTGTGATCTCCTGAAGTCCAACTGTGTAGTTTTACTCGACTTTAACCTGATTTCTCGCTTCCAAATCCTGGAACTGCGAAGGTTTCAGCATTATTATCCGCTATTTAAACCTGATACAATTCTCAATTCACAGAAGCGGAAATTTTATCTATTTAAATATTTTTGTAAATAATTTTCTTTTTTTACACAATCAATAGTGCTTGATTTAAGTTGGTTTAGTTCTGGAGAAATTGACTAGAATTCAACTTCAGGTGCACATTTTTTCCTTTTGTTTTAATAAACATTAAGCATTTTTGCAACGTCAGAAATGTGTTTCTTTGTAAATGGGATGCATGCAATAATGATGATTATTATCAAAATGTGCATTTCGGGTTTAGCAATCGAAGTGATTATGTTGGGAATTCTTAATGCCGGGAAAAACCAGACGTTAAACCAAAAACCACCAAAAAAGAGCAGCAGGTAAAAGGTCTAAATTTCCAATTTTCTCAATCCCAGCTTGATTTTGTTTCCTCAACATTAATTGCAATTTCATTTTTCCTACATATCATGTAAATGTCTAATACTGACTAAGTCTCACAAATGTTTACACCAAAATTATTCAATTGTTTAGTTTTGTCGCATTATAGTAAAAAACAGTGATGTTCACTGATCTGTTACAATCTGAAATTATAGTCAATTTTTTTTTTTAATCAGCAGTGGTAACAGATTTAAAACTAATTTCAGTTTTGAAGATAAAGTTTCTTATTCATTTTTTATATAGTGCATTGTAACTATTAAACAATTTTAAAAAATTAATAACTATCTAATTTAGAGAATAATTTAGTCTTTTCGAACCAAAAAAAAAAAGAAAATTTAAAAAAATATTCTTTGACAAGGAAGAAACCGATGAAAGAGCAACGTGGAAAAACAGAATAAGCGAAATGAAAAGTTGCTGTTAAAAATTACAGAATTTTGCTCTGTCCATTCACAAATTTTTTCAATAGAAACATTAATTTATTTTAAAATGAATATACTGAAACTCCTGGTAACTTGATATTCGTTTATTATTCTGTACTAAAGCTCAAGCTAAAAAGACGTTTACTCAGAGACATTGGTTCAGTAAATTTCTATTCAAAAAGTTTAGTGATTTTTAGGTATTTTTGTAGTAAACATTTGTCTTCTCTTCTTATCAAAAAGAACAAAAATAAATCAGCATTTCTTTTCGTAAAATGTCTACAAATCGCAATCAAAATGTTTCCCTACGGTGCAATTAAATTATTTTAAGCACCTGTTTGCAGTTTCAACACAGCACAGACTTATTAACTATTCTGTTTTCACATCTTCTACCCAAGCATCATTTTCTGAATAAGTGCATAAGCTCTCACATTCACACAGGAAGGTGCAAAAATCTATATACACCGCATGTTACATCTCAGTTTACTTTCAATAGAATAATGAGCTTGTTTTCAACGGTAAAAACGAGCAGAAAGAAGCGACAGCTGAGGAATTTCTGGGAATTGTCATCGAAGTACACACCTACAAGTTAGAGGACGCATAACAGGGAAAAGACGAA